CTTCCTCATCATATTAGAAAATTATGTTCAAATTTTAAATTATCCGAAAAGAAAAATATTTTAGTTACAGGTGCTACGGGATTTTTAGGTCCACTACTTATCTATGAAATTGCTAAACAAATGGATGATAATGTTAATATTTATTGTATTATTCGAGCAACAGATGATGAACATGCTAAACAACGTTTACAAGATGATTTAGAAGAATGTGGGAAATTGAATTCATTAAATTGGAAACAAATTCATTGTATTGTTGGAGATATTTCAAAAGATAATCTTGGATTAGCAAATGATTTGTATAATAAATTAATTGAAGAAATTGGTTTTATTTATCATAATGCATCACAAGTACATTTAGAAATGCCTTATAAAGCATTAAAAAAATGGAATGTTCAAGGAACATTAAATGTTTTAGAATTTGCATTAAAATCTCATGGAAAATTTATTTATACAAGTTCAGTTGCTGCATTACCTGCTTCGAATGATTTACAAGAAGATTCAAATGGATGGACTTGTTTAACATCAAATGAAATCAATCAAAAAGATGGATATGGACAAACAAAAGTTATTTGTGAAAAAATTCTAAAACAAGCATCAGATCTTGGTGCTCATATTATTATTATACGACCTTGTTCAATATCTCCACATACAAATACGGGCTATACAAATCTTAATGATTTTATTAATATATTATTACGAACTCAAATTGAATTAAATACTATTGTAGAAAATTCTAATATGAAATTACATTTTGTACCTGTTGATTATTGTGCTAAAGTTATTGTTGCTCTATCGAAAAATTTTGAAAGTCAAGGTAAATGTTTTAATTTATATGGAAATCCTTTCAATATAGCAAATATCTATAAAATTTTATTTGATAAATTATCAAATATTAATATTAAAAAAATTAAACAAAATCAATGGAAAGAATTTGTATTGAATAATCTATCTGAAAGTAGTCGATCATGGCCTTTAAGAGAACGAATAGCAGCAATTCAATTTGTTAATGAATATCATGGAGATGAACAACATGTTGGTGTACCTATTCATATGACAAAAGAATTTTTAGAAAAAAAATGTCAAATTTCATGGTTTGAAATTAAAGATGAAGATTTTATTAAATCAACTGATTATATGATTCAACAGAAATATGTTAATTAATTTTTTTGTGAATGAAAACAAGATAAAATGATATTTGTTGTATTAATAAAAAAATCTTTTAAATAACTAATATATTACTTATGAATATATTGACAAAATAACTCTATAATCTAATTTCGTTACTCGTTTCAATTATTGATATTGTAGTTTTTGAAATTCTATTGAATTCATAAATAACCCTTCCAAATTTGAATAAATATGTTACTTCTTTTGGGCAAAGCATAATCAATGAAAATAAATTTGATTTATTGATATACCTTTCCATATAATATTGTTCAAGTAATGAATAGTTTTTCATTAAGAAAATCAAATATTGAATTTTAAATAAACTAGTTTTCTCTCGATGTTAAATATACAATAAAATTTTAGATAATATCTCTTTATTATATTACCTTCAGTAAAATACACTGTTAAAATATTCGTGGTACTTGAATATTATCTTGATCTAATACTATCTATTACTTGTTTATCGGTGATTCGAAAGCCATAGTAAAATCAAATGAAACATTTGAATGATTTACGAAATATAATTATAACATTTCTTGTTCTTCGAAACTGATCAAAGATAACATAAACATATGAGTATCAACTCGTAACGGTTTTGTACAATAAGTAAAACTTTCTTGATAACTTCGAAGAATATTTTTATATTTATTAATACTATGACAATTAATGTACTATACTGATATCGTCGATTAAAATATAATTTTTTGGATTTTTTTACATGAAATATTATAATTAAATATTGTGAGTATTAATTTAAGATTTTGACAGGTAAGTTGACTTTAAAATTTTATTAATTAAATATTGTATGAAAATCTAACCGATTGATTTCGATTTCCACACAAACTATTTTATTTATTCAACGACAGAAGATCACTTGATTATTAGATTCTTTATTTTTCTTAATATTTGCTGGTTGTTTTGATCTAGTTTTATGCACGCTTCTATTTTTACATTATATGCAAATTTTATTTCAACTGATTTTATCGAGGTTCATTGCATAACTTTTCATTAGTGGCCACACCCTTTCTTTTGCTTTTTTCTTTTTTCTTTTTGCGCTTTTTATGTTACTCTCTGGAGTACTGACATTGAGACAGCGGATATAATGTGACAATATATGGCGGGGCACAGAAAAAAAAGAGAGAATAGAGACGGCCCATCGAAACGAAAAGGTAAAAGACGGAGTGCTATCCGACCAATCAAGTCCCTTAAAACGGTAGTTAATTTCTCGGGAAGAAAAAACGGCGTCACTTGTTACAAGATGTGATGCGTACGCATTTGATTTCTGCTATGTTTGTGTCGTATATAAAGCTATTCGATATGGCATTAGAGCTTCAATTCAATCACCTGTTGAATCTGTTGCAAAATCATATTTTACTGTTCGAACATTTACTGATCCGTGGCAAATATGAGCGGTTCATGTTCAAGTATGTTAAATAAATATTATAATATATCTATAATTTGGTATACATTTCTGTTTTAGCTTCAACACTTCAGCCAGTTAACGAGGATATTGAATCGATTGAAGGCACTGAAATAGACTCAAAAACAAATGACATGATTGAAATTAATCAGCGTTTGGCCATTGGTGATAATAATAATAGTAATACTAATATTGTATAAAGTAGAAAGTTCATATAAAAACTATCTTTCGTTAGGTTAGGATCCGATCTCTTCTACTTGTCATAGATATAATTCGAACTAAATGTATATTATTACGAATACCAAACTTTGATTGTATGTCTGTTATAACTCAATGAAAACAAACAAATTTTTCAGATTAAAACGAAAGAAATTACAATATTTTGGAGCCTATCTGTATTTGACTTGAAATCCACTGAGTGATACAGAAGAATTAAATCGCCTAAAGAAATAATTAATGTTTTTCACAGAAGATTCGATTATTTAACCAAAATAAAATCATTTGTTTCGTTTAGGTACAATCAATTTTAGTCGAACAGTTTCTCCATATCAAAAGTAGAGTTGCTACTTCTTCTTATTTTAACACAAACAGTGGTGATCTCCTCTAACTGTTTCATGAAAAAAAATCCTTATTTTTCATTTTTTTTCATTTTTTCCTATATTCTTCTTTCGGCGATATATTCTGTTGTTTGTAACATTGCTCTCTCCTTCTTTTCTTTTTGTTCTGCTGTTATAGCTAAAAAGTTTATATTTATCAATTTGTCTATTAATATAATGACCAAGTATATTGAAATTATATTTTTATATCGCACAACAAACAATAATTTTACTTATATTTTTTTGAAATTTCTAATTTACTGTATAATCTCTGGATTATATAAAACATCTTTTAAACTATCAGGTGGATGATATTTAATTGTTCTTGATAATTCTTGAAAACAAATTCTGTCAAACACTATTCACTTGAAAAATGATCAAATATGTTACGATAGACATTGCAAAAGAAAATGATTGTATATAAAAGAAATATTGAATTGCTAATCGTTCCATATTTCTTCTCAAATCCTATTCTTTTATACACATCTTATTCCAGATGTTAACATTATTCATCAAACATCAATTATTAAAATAAGTTTATCATTAACAATTCTATTTATGATTAATCAATGGTATACGTTCCTGAATAACATTTAAAAATAAAAGTATACGTAAAGTTGGTTGTGGAATATATTTATTTAGTTTATCAATAACAACATTTTTAACAAAGATCATGTTTGGATCAAAATATTTTATTTATCTTTCAACACGAATATCAATTTCATCGAACCAATCATTTTTAAAAGTTCAATATCATTTATTAGATTTTCTTCTTCGAATTTGTCTTAATATGAATTAATGTTAACATGCATGTGAGGGAATGGAAAAAGCAATAACAATTATTAAAAGTGCTCAATTTGATAAAAAGAAAAGTAAAAAATTAGCTAAAAAAGTTTTAATTATTCTTTTAACTTTAAATATTTTATCTATGTTTTTATTCGAAGAAGAACATGATGATGATGATAATAATAAAAGAAAAGAATTTGGTGTATTCTAAAATATTCTTCAACTTTACAAATCTATAATCGAATAATTAATAATAGATTTCATTTTTCCATTCTATTTTTAATTAACTTTATTTTATCAATTATTTTAATAACAGAAAAATGGAGATCATCAACATTTATTAATTGTACCTGTGATTTTATCTTTTTTTGCAATACCACGATTAATTCTTACTTATGTATTCAAATGTATGAATTCAACAAAAGATTCTTGATTGTTTCTTTGTGAATATTTGATTTTATTTATTCTTCCGACGATTAATTTTCTTATCTTTGTTTTGCCATCAGAATTTTATATAAAAGAGTATCGAAATCTGATTCAACAACGTTTTTGTCGAACATTATAAAGATAATAAACGAAAATATTTGATTTTCTTATCTTTATCTTTGCTTCTTTGTCTGTATGATGATGTTTTTATTCAATATTTTACGTAGGGTGGGTATGGTTGTAGGTGATGGAACACAAGTATGCTATGCACACATCCTTACCCATACCTATCCATTCGCATACGATACTAATCGTTAGTTATAATCTATATTTTCTCAAAGCTAATTAACATTATAATGTTTTATTAAAAATACAATGTCTTCATAGATAATTAGGCGTCATGTTCATAATGATAGACCGGGAGTTTAAAGATCAGTCGTCTCTAAGAGCTAAACTGACTGGGTGATCGCTGTTAGGCACAGTATCGATGAATTGTCGATCTGAAGCATCATCAAACAATGCATTCCAATGAGAATCTTGTTCTGCTAACCAGTTTAAATTACCAAAGATATATAGAGCACGTCTTGCCCTTGTTAACATGACGTTTAAGCGACGTTTATCATTTAAAAATCCGATTGTTTTACCTTCACCACTTCTAACACATGAGATGAGAACGATATCCTTTTCCTTTCCTTGTGCACTATCCACAGTCAGTACTTCTATATGACGTGGAAATTGAAGTGACTGCTTACGGAATTTTTTCATCTGACCCTTGTATGGTGTAATAACGACAATACGTTTTTCCATTTCAATGAATTCCGGGTCATTTGGAAGGTAAGGTTGCCGATCAACAAGCTGCTCAAGTAATTTGATGCAGAATTTTTTAATAAATATCCGTTCTTCTTTATTGTCGGATGATCCGCCATTGGGTGGACATTGATGAGTGGTATAAGTTAGATTGTATAAATAATAGGGTTTTAATGGATAATCAGCCCAGTAATTCATTACACTCTCGTGTGTAATAAGTTGACCATCATAGAAGTGGTTATTTGGAAAATGACATATTTCTTCATGCATGCGATACTGTTCAGTAAGCATGCTGATGTTTTTTGGAGGAATTATATCATTTAGTCTATCATAAAGTGATTGCGAAAGATTATGTTCTTGACCAGCAGGACTGAGCACACATGGAGGTAGTTGTTGAGGATCGCCAACAAGTATAATCTTTGCACAACCAAAATAAAATGGTAAAAGACAGTCCGGTTCGAGACTTTGACAAGCTGCACCGCAATAATAAAAAATATAAGAAAAAAGAAACATCAATAAAACGGTCGAGATAATTTACACTCGTTTTCACGTAGACTCGCTTTTGTATATGTTTGAATTAGGGACCTGCACGGAACTCCGATTTACTCCGAAAAGGGGGAAGAAAATAGAAAAAAAGTGACTACGTAATATTTGAACAGCTTGTTCGCATATTACGTAGTCACTTTTTTTCTATTTTCTTCCCCCTTTTCGGAGTAAATCGGAGTTCCGTGCAGGTCCCTAGTTTGAATACATGTGCTTCTTGATGAGACCTTATCACTACCGATATATATTTAAAAAAGAGTGCACGTGAAAACAAGTAGATTATCTCGATCAATAAAAGACTTTACCTTCATCGATGATCACAAAATCAACATCCTTTCGATGTTTCATCAATAAAAGCGTACTATTAGCTGAATAGTTTAATGTTGAAATGATCACTTTGGCTTTTGTCAGAATACCTTCCTTGACAGAACCGACTGTTGTTTCTATTATTGGCTCTCGATTTTTCATCATTCGAACAAGTTGTTGCATAGTCTGCGATTCGAGAAAATGTTCACAGACATCATGATCAAGAGGTGCTTCACGACCGACGCGTACCAGTGTTCCTATAATATGTCTAAACTCAATTCTCTAATTCAGAGTAAAACCTAACAAAAACCTTTTTTATATTCGTCTCTCAGTTCATTCAAAATTCGCTTAAACAGCTCATCACAGGCATTGTTTGATGGTGCACAGAGTAGAATTTTTCTGTTTTTTTTCAGTTGTGGCAACAGTGTTGTAACGATACCGGCAATTGTCTTACTTTTTCCAGTACCTAAATAGAAACAGTTCGAACATCCTCAAGAGAAACTATATCAGACCAGGAGGACCATGAACGAGATGTAAATGATCATTGTTGTTGTCATTGAATATTCTTTCTGCACATCTAATTACATTTCTTTGATTATTGTTAAAGTTTCCAGCTATTTCTGATTCTATGATATCATTTGGAATATTTTTTCCATGAAAATAGGGATCATCATCTACTTTTAGCAGTAAATTACTTTGTTTCGAAAACGTACGTAAATTATAAACGGCACTAATATGTCTTCGAGATGATGTAAAATTGCCCAACTTAGTGACAGGAATTGTGTTCGATCGAACAGATGTACAATGCTTTGCAATTACATCTGAACATTTTTTCGAGGTATAAAAGACTATTTTAGACTTCACTTTGATGGTATTTTTATTCTTCATCCCTTCTACTAGATCAGTGGTGATTGGAATTGTATCCATATTCGCTGGCCAACGATCACTTACGTGAACAACAACAGCAAAAGAACGTTGGATTTGACCTTGAGGATTAATGCTAATCAGTATAATATCACCTAAACCAAGTTTAGGAAATGTTCGAGTAAAAGAGAGATCAATATCGAATGAGTAAGATCCAAATATCAGAGTAGTCGGTATAGGCGATACAGACGGATGCGTTGGCTGTGCAACCTGTGGTTCATTTTTCTTAATTTCAATTGTGATATTGTTATCAGCGTTGGAGAAATTGTTGGAGACTACTGATTTTGCATCATGTTTGATGTTTTCCCATAATTCATGATAAAGAAGTGGTATAAAGCACTGCTCATACCGCTCTTGCGCATGTTCCACATCAAAGTCGGATTCAGCTTGTGGATCACCTACGATAAAAAATTTTGTCTCGTACTTTTATATTTTTCAATAAATATTACCGAATATTGATGGTACAGTCAATAAAGGCTCGGGCGTTAGACTATGGTGCAAAGCAGAGTTTGTTCCAAATCTTTGGGATAAATAGTGAGGCTGCCATCGGGTAACAATGCGATCCAATAAGATGCGAATGCTATCATGAACTTCATTGCACCAAAGAGATCGTTGGGAAGAAGTTCGAGGATTTTCTTGCTCTAAGTTTTCAGTACGACGTTGGAAAAGATATAAACATGTTATAGCTCCTCTTTTGAATGTGCACAAAATACGCGCTCTATTCCATAAAGAACCATCATGAGGATCATTGCGTTTCAGTTGAAACCATGTTCTGGCCGTGTACTCGTCCATTATTATCGATTTGAGAATAACCTACCAAAACAAGAAATATACCGCAAACAAATCGACTGTCCATGTAAAAAAAGTGGTGAAAATCATGATTTTTATCAGAAATCCGATGAGAAATCGATTTAAATAGCACAATTTTCATAGCTTGGTAATCAGTTAAGATGAAAAAATTAATTAAAATCGATTAAATTATTGTATGAAACGGTGAAAAATCGATTAAGTTGTATATAATTGATTAAAATCCAATGATATTTAATTTTTCGTGAAAAATAACTGATTTTGATCGACTTTATACAACAATTTCATCGATTTTGATTGTTTATTTCAACTTAATTGATTATCAAGCTATGAAAATCGTGCTATTTAAATCGATTTTTCATCCGATTTCTCATAAAAATCATGATTTTCATCACTTTTTTAGATGGGTACTTTACTTCATTTTTTTAAAATGCATCACACCTCAGCGACACATACTATAATTATAACATACTTGTGTTGTCTATAGTAACGAAGGAAAAAACACAGTCAGTCATTTGCATGAGTTATTGCTTTGTCCTGCTGCACGTTGTTCACAGCAACTCAGATTCTGTACCTTGAGTGTGGGATGCCAGTGTATCTTATTTATCCTAATCGCGTCCATATCCACACTAAGTCTCAAGATGGTACTACTTACGACGTGGGCCATTGATCGTGTAATCATTGTTTAAAGGAATTCAGCTAATTAAGGGAAACATGGAAACTATTGTAGAGGCACAACGATTTTTATAATGAAAAAAATTCCATTGATTGAATAAATAAGAACAAATCTTAATTCATTAATATATTATTGAAAATATACTGAAATGTGAAAAAATTGAATTTTCCAAAACGTTTATATATGTTTTGTGCGATCAACAAAAGAATATATATTTTAAATATTTCTTTCTTTTAAAGTAATTATATATATATGTAAGTCAATCGATTTCTAAGATAGGTAAGAATTTACTATATCAATAATAATGGTTATTATTCTCAAGATTTAATAAAATGAAACTATGAATACCTTTTTTTGTATACTTTTTATTTAAAAAGTGTGTATATACATACAGGTAACCATAGTCGTGTTATTGCCTGGAATGTATTTCTTTATTAATATAAATTAAATGTCTTATCTTTAGAATTATTTTACTTTTATTAAATCTTTATTACATACAAATTAAATATAAATTAAGTAGTACAATTACACAATTATTGAAAAATAAAAAATTAAATAAAGATCCATTATTTTCAATGGAATTAGTCAAAATCATTAAGTATCAGTGCTTTTCTTTTCTTTCAATTATCATTTTTTCTGTTCAATAGTTATGAAACGAAAAATCTAATTTATTTCATCTTATTTAATTAGCTCAGAAACTGGGATATTTCAAAACATGAAAAGACAAAGAGCTTACAATCTGAGCACATAATCTTCGTTAAGAAAAATAAATCAGTCCTCGCTTTAATCTTTTCTTTATAGAGCTTGCCAATGTTTTTACAAATGAAATGAATTGGTAGTTTTTATAATCGAATGGATCGTCTTAATATGATCTCATTTATAGTACTAAATGAATACTATTATATCGTTAAAAAGGCTATCATAATCATTCTCAACATCTATCACAAAACAAAGTCGATTTTGCGAATATACTTAAATCTAAAGATTTATTCGTGTTGGTTGTAATTCGATATCGAGAAAAATGAATCAAGATAAACATTCTTTCTTTGTGAAGAAATTTGATAATTAGTAACAATACAAGAAAGAATTTGAAAACTGGCGTATTAACTACTCAGAGAATAAAAAATGGTTACTTTGATGTGAAAAACACGAGCAAAAAGACATATCTGATAATGAAATAGATAATAATTTTGATATTTTTCATTTTTTTCCTCTTGGGTATTGTCAACTGGCGAGAGTATTAAACATGCGTCAACAAAATACAATGAAAAATAAATGAAAGAATTCTTTGATCGTTTCTGACAGCAAAATTTAATAAATGTATGGTATCATAGTAACTCTGTTAGGAAACACAAAAGATGAATCCAGACGAAGTCAAGAATCGACTCAATAATGTTACGAATTTTATATTAAAAAACAACATAAGACGGAGTTAAATAAAATTATTTCAAAAATAGGACATTTAGTTTATGTCTGTAAAAAAAATATAAAATAATAACATGGTTATGCTTACCTGTGTGTAGATAGCCGTTGCTTATGTAGACATATGTGTATATAAACACCTCTTTTTTACCTGTATATTTGCTTGTCGGTTTTTGTTTTTCTTTCATATCGATTCATTTTGGTCCAATCGTTTTGTCTTTATACTAGTTTTTATCTTCATGTCAATTTATTTCTTATGTAGTAGGCATTTTATCTATACTAATTTTGAGTCATATGCATTTTTTTTCTTTATATCAAATTTTTCTAATATTTTTAAAATACCAGATCAATGACTTATGTGAGAACGTTTCAAGAGATACTGATATTAGAAAAGAGATAAAAAAGATTAATTTGAATGGATTTTTACTTGTTAACTTATTAAATGTACGTATTGTAAGATAAAGTTAAATCATCTTGAGAGGTGTGTCTGGATTTAAGTTGATCATAATACTGTCATATTTACACTCGTAATCTTTTTAATTGATTAATGAGTTAAAATAATATTTCGAATTAATTTTATTTGAATTTCCAAAGATATTTTTGAATTAATTAAATAAAACATTTCATATATAAGAATTTTAATCAATTTTTAATAATAAAAAATTGCCAAGAAAATATTTCGAACATTCTAATAATTTAAAAGCACGCTGAAATGAATTTCATTTCTTTGTTGTCTATAAAATAAATGAACAAAATCTCTTAATTATTTTTATTAAATAATTAAACTTACAAATGAATTGTAAATATTTAATAGAATTATTATTAAGAATAAAATTCAGATTCATTAGTCGAATGATTTGAACAAAAGAACATTTATGAAATTTTATTATTTGAAAAAGTTCATGGCAAGAACTAAATTTTTATTCGATTTCATAAGAGACAAAGAGCAATTTTCTAATTAGAAAATATCTTTTCAATTCATCTTCTATTATAATCATAAAATTTCAGTGTAAAATTAATATTTATTTAGAATAAATTATTTTTTCTAATGAATGTATTTCTAAACTATAAATGTAAACATTTTATTAGAAGACAAAATTGAATTAATAATTTGCAGTTAAATTAGAAATATTAGAAAATATTTTTCATGAAAAAAACGAAAACAAAGCTAATTTAATTGATTTTAAAGTAATATACGTCATTTTAATAAATGTATAAAATATAAAAATAATATTTTACTTTTTTTAAAACTATTAGAATGATGAACTCAATTAACAAGTTTATAAAAATTTATTTTAATTAGAATAGAAAACTTTCATTGCACGATTTTGTTATTATTCAAATAAAATAATTACTGAAACAAACATATTTCTATTCTTCAAAAGAATTGTTATTTTGAACATATGCTTGGTAATACTCTCATTATGAAAAATAATTAGAATACAATGAATAAGATCTCTTTTGAATATTACATTAAATCATATTATGAATAATTCTATCGATATTATTTCAAAAGAAAATCGTTGTTTCTTATTAAAATATTGAAAAACTAAATAAAAAATTATTTTAACTACTAAAATTAATATTTAAGTTTTTCAATTGATTTACAATTTTAACAATTAAGAAATAAGCTGAAAGAATTTATTGATATATTTTAAATTTTGAATATAAACCATATAATTTTCTCGGTAAAATATTTATTTTTCTTTCATGAATCACGATCGATAAAGGCAGTAATGGGATCTTTCATGCAATATTCTTAATACTTATGATTTTTTATATTTGAGAATATTCATTAATAGAGCATTTTTACTTTTTTTTTACTTTACAAATGCTTTTATAAAATCATAAATCTCGAAATAATACTAATAAAAAAATAAGAACTAGAAATGAACAATTTACATTCAATTTATCTAATGTAATACAAGATTTTATCAAATAAGCATCTTTTGTCGAAACATGACGTCAATAAGAAATACTAAAGTGAAGTTGTGATAAGCAAAAACTGAGTTTTTGCTCACATCCTCATTCTCAACATGTTTAAGCATTTGATTTATACGAGCAGAAGCAGACTTTTTATCAAATATGTGTTTCTACACAATGCAATTTATTATTATTCACAAATAGTGCATTTATATATGACGTAGAAAGAGATGGAAACAACATTTGAACATATGTACATCGAAATACACATGCAAATATAAAAAATACGAAGATATAAATGATTTTGACGTCATCATATGCAAGAGAATTATAATTGACGTCATGTCACCATCTAACACCTATTTTCTCTCTCTCTCTCTAATATATGCTCAGAATACTTAGTTGATACTATTATAGATGGTGAAGCCAGAGATGATGACTCAGTCTCTCCTAGCAAATTTTGAAAGGATTCTTAATTTATATTGGTTGGCTAAAATGATTATACTTGTTAGATGAATCAAAACGGATCTGATAACTGAGCCTTCCTAACTCAAAATCCTGATTCAGCCACTGATTCTTATTAAGTTACAGTAAGGCGTAGTTCAAGAAATCGAAACTTATTCTTTATGAAATAAAGTCTAAATCTTGATTGTATACACAAAAGTTACATTTATCAGTACGCGTTATTATTATTATTATTCAATGAACTAACACGTTTTGCTGTTGTTCAAATGTTCTCTGCCATTTTTTCTCTCATAATTAAATACTCATTTTTTTAGAAATCATCTTCTTTGCTACTTTCTAAAAATATTATTGCACAACTCTCAGACTATGAATAAAAATAAATAAATAAAAATATTCAACATTTTAAAGACATATATGTAAAAAAATTATTCTTTTCTCACTACATAGTAATTACTTTTCAACGAAAAGAATTTGATAAAATAAATCTTCATTTGAACTATAATTACATTACTATTTTTCGTCAAAACTTATCTTAGTAACAAATAAGAATATCTCTTCCTTTCTTCTACTTTGATATATCTAACTGTTCTTTCTTTTTATTATTGACGATATACAAAATTAATTTTATATTTACAAACATAATATCAATTCCAGATCATTCATCGTTCGTAGATTATAAGGAGAGAAGAGAATTTAGAGTGATCGGGCAGTTCCTATCGGTCATGAGGCCAGACCGTTTGCTCGCAATAGCACAATATTCATAAATCTTTGTTATACAAACCTTCTTTTTTATATGTTGAAATATTCTTCAGTTAATTTTCTCTATCAAACTCTGAAACAGATGTATAAATGATGAAGTTAATATGAATAAAAATATAAAAGCTTGTCAGAAAATGCGTCAACTTATTGCGTATAAAATCTTTTTTTCAACTAAAGAAAACATTAGAATTTGCGTCAGCAACTAAAAGATAACTAGTATCCAAGCAGAAACAAACACATATGCAGATATTTTTTAATAAAGAATAGTCTTCTATCTCTCGTGCCAAATACGAGCGCTGGTAGTAGCATTAACGAACCAAAAAGGATTAAAAGTATTGTTAAGTGCAACTCTTGTATATCTGGTATGTTCCTATTCTCTCTCTTTCTTCTGTTCTGCTGAGATACATAAATAGCACGTTGAATAAACATATCTCTTTTCTTTCCTTCATTTTGAGGCATTTTCCACACGTTTCTCTTCCCTTGTTATAGTCTACGTATTTTTCTTTTCGTCTGTTTTATTTTGAGGTATCACGGTTTTTTTCTATTTTATTCAGTTATATATAGATCCCATCTGCAACAAAAATTAAAATTTAATATCTATCAGTTACATGAATCTCCCTCTGATAAGTATAAGTTCTTCTCCTGGAAAATTAAACTAAAAGCCTACGGATTTGATCTTATTACCGTTGGATTCACGAGCCCAAGATTTACATGGGTACATAAAAAAATATTAAACTATTTATTAATACATCGTCTCTGACTCAACTATTCATCACGCGATATTTTCAGCTTCATCTCCATCTCCCCCTTAATTTATAGATGATGTTACTGTGAGTCTTGTTTCGTTAAACATATTGTCACCTCTAATTGAAACTCAAATAAAGAAAAATACAATTGATATCCTCCTTTCACGTTAGCTATTCCATGTATAACCTTGGGCAAAATCAATTCCGAATGGTATTGGTGCTTCGAGCAATGAACCTCTGATATATTCTCAATTGTGGAGATACCTAACGAACTATCAAATTCGTAGTCGTCAATTCCAGCAGTATTGAAACCGCCCCTGATTAGATTACTATTATCAAGAAAAACTCCGTATCGTCTGAGTTTTTCTATTTACTTTTTTATCTGAAGTATTATTAACTAAAGCTACTTTACTTCTTTCAAATACTTACATTACCTCTGAGGTAACAAAAAATATATTAGCTCTACTCCAGATCGAACTCCAGAAAACTGATAGGCTGAGCCCCACCTAGCACGAAATCCTGGCTCCGCCGCTAGTAACAACACTCGTTCAGATGCAAAAACTATAAAATTTCTATAACAAACGGTTTATTTTTCATAGGATTGTAGCAATCACAAAATTCGAAATGTCGCTCTATATTTTGTGTGAGAACCGTGTTTCCTAGTAGTTTGAGTGACTTTTTACAATGATAAGACCTCAAAAACTAATATCGTTTAACTGTCAAAGTAGTTTCCCTTGCTTCCTCTTTCATGCTGAATCAAATTCGTTCGCAACGAATTTCGTAAAATGACAAGCCAATCATTTTAATGTCGGTCTACACGAAAATAAGAAGTGTCTTCATCTCTTCTATCAATGATTTCTATTTATAAAAACTCCCCATGTCAACAAAATCGGGGATAATCGACGATTTAATCGCGATTTAGCACCCGATTACTTGTGAGATCTATCGCGATAAAATCGCCAAAATTAAGGACTTTTTGCCGATTTTTTTTCGAAAAGTCTTGATTCGTAATGATTTCGACAAAATAAGCATTTCCTACTGGCGATATAATCGTCAATATTTTAGAAAATCGCAATTCATCGCCCAAACCTTGGCGATTTTGAAAACATGGGTCATTTTAAACAAATATTGAGGAAGTATTCTGAAAGTTCATGCCGAGCGCTACAGTGTTTGATTAAATAATAGTTTACAAAAGCCAAAACTAGATTTCAAAAAAAAGCATTTTTGATCGGCATATGTCCTGAAAAGCTGGATTTTTGGTACTGTTGCATCGATATCTCCTAAACTAAGACAGATAAAAACTTGATTTTTTTCAAAAATGAATGTTCATATATAGACCAATAAAACAAAAAAAGATTTATTAAAATCGGTCGAGCAGAACCTCACTTATAAGCATTTTTGTTTCGAGGATACAACGGTACAATGGCTGCGATTATCACTCATATATATATATATATATATATATATACCATCTCTTCTGTTAATAAGAGAAAACTTTTGAGGTTCAGAAACATATCAAGGAAGGGATAACGATTGATACTTCTATAGAATGAATAATAAAAAGAAGCCAGACAACAGATGAAATTTGAATTTTTGCTCAATCTTTTCAAAGAAACTTTTTCAGTAAAAACACCATATAGCAAATTGATAGATGGTAAAGATTCATTCGTTGAAATAATACTCAAAATTTTCAAGTATAATATCCTAGAGAATACTGAAGCAAAAGAAGAAACTTCTCTTTTAGCTGTCGTGGTTGTCTGTGTTCCTCAAAATATAGACCAAAACTTTCATAGCCTAGAAACTACATCTTCATCATGATACTCTCATTCCAAAATGGGCAATTTTTCTTCGTAAAAATATATTAATGTCATACTTTTGGTTCTGGGGTTTAACTTTTTAAACTTACTACTTCGTTCTTTGTTATTTTTTATACGATATAACCACTCGACAACATGTTGAAGCAACGAGTTTTCTTTCATAATCACATACAGGATAAAAAAATGCTGACAGATTTCTGATCTTTTCAACAATACTCAGATTTTTCTAGTTTCTATACTGAAAAAAGTCACATAGCTAAATACAAATTCAATTAAATAAGAAACAGGTGCAAATAGTTTCTCTCAAAAATGTTGGTGAAATATATTTCTATTTTTCAAAAACTATTACGCTAGTGCAAAAATGTGTATTACTAGTTCATGATAAGACAGTAGGACAAAATGAGAATTTTCTGTAACTTCAGTGGGCTGTAAATAATAGAGAAGAGTTTTAAACAGCTCTGACATAATATAGTTAACCAACGACAGCTATCGATAACTCCTTATATTAGATACCCATTATATATAATCTTGACAAACGACTATTTTATGCGATTGGTTAAGTAAAATCACTATAAAGTTCTAAAGTATTTCTACTCAATCAGATAATATAATTATTAATATTTAGATATACATTTATTAAATACCTGACAAAAATTTAAAGTAATATAATCTGTTTATATAGAAAAATCTAATTATAAAACTTAATATATACATTAAATGTATTCAGAATAGATTTATCTATTTGATAGGAATATTGTGGTTATTTTATAGAGTATATTAACTATGAATAGTTTATTTATGTTTCGTCGTGTATTATCAGTGTCAGAGAAAAGATATAGAACATTATCAATCTCTTCATCATCATCATCATCGAGAGATATCTATCCAATAATGAAAAAACTTATTGATACAAAACAATATAAAAAGGCTATAGATATTTTTGATGAAAAATTTGACTTATGTAAAGACCTTGAAATAGATTTGGCATTGAAAGCTTGTCTTAACTTAAATGAGTATCAACGCGCTATTAATATTCAACAAAAACTTTCTCAAAATTCACTTAACAATCCTTATATACAAACATCACTTATTCAATTATATAGTGAGTGTTTTATTTTTCAATTAAACTGTTCACAATTTAATTGAATATTTAAATAATTTTACCATTATAATACAATTTCCTTATAGTTGATATTCTTCAAGTATTTCAGAATTGTTCAATATGAAGAGATTATTTTTTTTCTAAAAGTTAAATTTTTTCAGAGTTTTTTTAACTAATTTTTATCGTTAGAAATAATATTAAAAATAATGAACAATTGTTAAAATTCTTAATTTAAACCAGCAAACTTTTATGAAGAAAATTTAATAATTTATTCAATAAAAATATTTCACATTAATCTTAACAAATAAATTATGATAAATAATTTTTCATTTATATTTTTATGTTTAGTACAACATCATGATATTAATAATGCTTATCGTCTATTTTTGAAAATAACCAATAAATCCATTTATATCTATACGACTATGATTAAAGGTTATTTATATTGTCTGTCATTTGGTTATTCTTCATTAACTTATTTTTAGGTCTTATTTCAAATAATATGTTAGATAGAGTGCTTGATTTATTTGATGAAATTAAAATTCAACCTAATGAGATTATGCTCACTATGTTATTTGATGTTTGTGCTCGACTTAATAATGATCGTGCAAAACAAACTGGAAAAAAAATTCTAAATGAAATGTCAGAAAAGTTTCTGAACGATAGTATTCTACTTAATTCAGCAATAATTATGCTAATGAAATTTGGTGATGTTAAAAGTGCCGAAGATCTTTTTCATAAAATAAAGAATAAGAATATTATTAATTATGGTGCTATGATGAAAGGTAAATTATTAGAATAAATTTTAAATCCTAACAAAATTCGATTTAGGATATACATTAAATAATATGTGTGACAAAGCATTGGATTTATTTGAACAAATAGAATCAAATCACAGTAATATTAGTTATACGATTATTTTCAATGCATGTGCTCAACTCTTAAATGATCGAGCAAGACAAATTGGAAGAAAACTTCTAGATGAAATGCCTAAGAAGTTTAAAGAGAATAGTTATGTTCAGACTTCAGCAATAGACATGCTAATGAAATTTGGTGATGTTCAAAATGCCGAGATCTTATTCGAAAAGCTCAAAAACAGAGATATTGTCACTTATAACGCTATGATGAAAGGTAAATGATTAGAATAAATTTTAAATCCTAACAAAATTCAATTTAGGATATACATTAAATAACATGTGTGATAAAGTATTAGATTTATATGAACAAACAGAATTAAATCTCAGTAATATTAGTTATACGATTATTTTCAATGCATGTGCTCAACTCTTAAATGATCGAGCAAGACAAATTGGAAGAAAACTTCTAGATGAAATGCCTAAGAAATTTAAAGAAGACAGTTATATTCAAACTTCAGCGATAGACATGCTAATGAAATTTGGTGATGTTCAAAATGCTGAAAATCTATTTGAAACAATAAAGAACAAAAATATTATTACGTATAGTGCTATGATGACAGGATATAATATAAATAATGAACCATTAAAAAGTTTGAAACTCTTAGAAGAAATGAAAAAAATGATATAAAAGTCGATGAAATCATTTCAATCATATTGATTGATACATGTGCTCGAATTGGTATCCGTTCAATATGTGAATCAATTGTTAGTCAAATTCCATCATATTTATGTAATAATCAACAGATGTATAGTGCATTAATTAGTATGTGGGTATGTATTTATTGTGAAGATTTTCTGAATAATTATTTTTTTTGTTTGATTACAGGGAAAAGCTGGTCTGGTGGAAAATGCTCAACAAATATTTGAATTAGTTGATCAACCTGATGTGATTACATACAATGCAATGAGTAAATAGATTTTATTTTATTTTTAATTACCCAATTTTTTCTATTTTGCCATTGAAGTTAATGCATATGGAAAAAATCGTATGGGGTTTGAAGCTGTTGATTTATATCGAAATATGCCTAATGATTTACGCAATGACATTTCATATATTTGTATATTAAATGCATGTTCACATTCAGGCCTTCTCGATGAAGCTTACTCAATTTTCAATGAAATTTCTCATAAAACGGAGCAAGTTATCACTACAATGGTATGTTTATTTGATATTTTCTCTTTAATACAAAGATTTACTCATGAATAAGGTTGATTGTTTAAGTCGTCTGTTTTTACTTGACGAAGCACAAAAACTAATCGAAGATTATGAAAAATGCAATGCACCACATTCAGTAATGTATAGTAAGTGTTTCTGTTTTCAATATGAAATTCTTTTTCTTAATTAGCAATTTATTTTTAATTCCAGTGGCACTTCTATCTGGTGCACGCAATTCTCGACAATTTCATTTATCACAAGAAATTTATAAACGAATGAAATTACTATTTCCGAATGAAAAAAATCTTTTAATATCTGCTTCAACTCTTCTTTGTAACATATCCTCATCGCTAGGACGTCACGAAGAAGCACAAGCCATTCGATTCGATCGAATTAAAGAATTCGGAAATAAAGTTAAAGTAGGTTTATCATGGACTGAAGTTAATGGAGAAGTAGTGGTAAGAAAATTTTCTTAGAAAAATAAAATTCTAAAGAAAACAGTTTATGAATTATTTTTAGCAGTTCACAGCTCATGATCAATCTCATCGTCTATCAAAAGAAATTTATGCTGAAGCTCAACGAATATCAGCTGAACTAATCCAGTATGGACATGTTCATGATGCAAGTTGGATTACTCGTCCAATACGCGAACATGAAACAGTTGAATCTATTTTATGTTCGCATAGTGAAAGGTTGGCTATTGCCTTCAATTTTATTGAAGGAAGAAAACCATCCTTTATTCAAATCACGAAAAATCTTCGTGTTTGTGGTGATTGTCGTAAGTTACATGACTTTTTTCTATCATTTTTATTTATCTATCAATTTCTTTTTGTTTAGATCAAGCTACAAAATTAATTGCCAAAATACGGCAAGTAGAGATTGTGGTTCGTGATGCCAATTGTATTCATCATTTTTCCACTAATGGATCATGTTCATGTCAAGATCACTTCTAGCTTTTTGTTATTTTTTTTTGTACTAAATAAAATAATGTTAGATATGAACATAATCATTATCTTCTTTTTAATCAACAGGATGATTATATGAAAATGTTCAAATAGTTAACTTTTCATTTTTCATTTCAAAATTCATATGACTTAAAATATGAACTTTTCATTTGTTGTTCTAAAATAGTAGCAAACAAGCGTATGTTGATTTAGATAAATGCTATATTTCGGTTTATATTTATCAAAACATAATATGATTCATTATATTAACAATTTCATGTACCACATAAAGATTATTTTTTTTTTGTCGGATATTGTAAAGAAAATAATGGAACTATATATTATCTATATATACCTGATAAAGATTATCCTGGAGTTCAATGTTATAGTGATGATCAGATAACTAGTATAAACCATGACCATCCATTTCCACATGATGGTGAATATATATATTATTTATGTGACAACGATGAACACAGTATTCAACCAAAGAAATATAATATTTTATTTCATTCTATTTGTAATAGACTTCCAGAATTGATTAATGAAACTGATGAGACTGAATGTGAATTTTGGCCATGTAATAATTTACATACTCGTTGTGATCATTTTTCAAATTGTGTAGATGGTGAAGATGAATTTGATTGTACTACATCATTGGTGTTATATGAGAAAGAGGTAAGCGAGTTTTTAGACGAGTATTACTTGTGAGAATGACTTATTAATATGTATTTCATTATATATGTTATAGAAAATACATAATAAATTAGTTTAACAAATCAACCAAATATTATTAAAACAAGTATTGCATTTAATATTATTTTTATTCTAATAGGTTTAGTTAATGGAATATTTACTATGATAACATTCAAGAATAAAAAACTATGTGAAGTTGGTTGTGGTTTATATCTATTTGGTTCATCAACAACAACATTAATGATAATAGTTTTATTTGCGTTAAAATTTTGGATTCTTATTTATGCACAAATGTCTCAAATATCCAATCGATCATTTTTAAATATTCAATGTTTGTTATTAGATTATCTTCTTCGAATATTTATTCATATGGATCAATGGTTAAATGCATATGTTGCTTGTGAAAGAGCAATATCAGTTATTAAAGGTACTCGTTTTAATAAACAGAAAAGCAAGAAAGTAGCTAAATTTATTATTATTTTACTTTTAATTTTTAATATTTTTACATTTATTCATGAACTTCTTTATCGACAATTAGTGGATGAAATTGATGAAGATAAAAATGAAAAACGAATCTGGTGTGCTGTTAATTATTCATCTAATTTACAAATCTATAATTCCGTTATAACTACATTTCAATTTTTTGCTCCATTTATAATTAATTTTATTTCAGCTTTTATTCTTATAACAAAAAAATCTCGTCAACAATTAAATATTCAAAGACAACGAAATTTTCGAGATATTTTAAAAGAAAATTATCGAGAACATAAACATTTATTTATTGCACCTGTTGTATTAGTTATTCTTGCTTTACCACGTTTAATAATTTCTTATATGTCAAAATGTATGCAGTCAAGTAATGACTCATGGTTATATCTTACAGGATATTTTATTTCATTAGCTCCAGCAATGCTTACTTTTATTGTATTTGTATTACCATCAAAATATTATAAAAAGGAATTTCGTAAAACAATTGTTGGATATCGAGCTAATATAAAACGACGTTTACGCATTGCATCTTAGAAAAAAAGGTATAAATATATCTAACTTTAACAGTAATATTTGGAGTTTTATTTTTTGTCAATAAATTATTTTATTGTGTTGTAAGGATTGACTTATGTTTCAACATTATTATCATTTGTTCTCATAACATTTTATGTTGAGGGTGGATGTATACTGATAAAGAAGAAAGTACACATTCTCATCTTCAGGAATGATTTCGAAAAATAGACGGTTCATGATGTGAGTAGGTGTGGGCATGGATACTGTATTCACCTAGCACCCACACCCATCAATTTCAATAAGAGATGTTCATCTTGATTGACAACTAGTCGCTACCAAATGGATCGGAAGGAATATCAGATAAGTCATGTGAGTTTCACCGGTTTGATTATGTTTGAACAGAACGTTTCCTACTACTTCATAAAATCTATTCCTCCAATTTCAGAGTTTTGCTTTTATATATATTGAATTTCGAGGTGAATTCATGCATCTTTTTGATGTCTGTAAGAAAAATCCATAACATCGTGACGAACAATTCAGTGTTTCATATATCGGATGAGTTTTTATTCTAAAGCAGATCAAAATACTTAAAGAAGAAAATTTTCCATTAAAATATTTATTACGCATAGAGAAACAGAGAACGTGATTAAAAGTGAATCCTGACAAAGCAGATTATTTAACAAACTCAAATAAAAAAGAGACATGAAACTAATCATGACTTATTCATTGACGTCAATCATTTATTGACGATGATAGTTGATATCTTGTTTTTAGCTAAAACATGTCCGATGATTAATGCAGATTTTGATCAATTCTCTTTATCACGTTCTTCTTCACTAAAATCAAAGATTTTCTATAAAATCAAAAAAAAAGAGAAAAGAATCATGTTGAATTTAAATTCCACTGTATTTTCGAATTTGGAAACGAATGAGACTCAATGAGAAATATGAAACTAAATCATGAATTTTGTCCATTAATCTAATCCAAAATCAATTTTTATCTTACCTACGACGAACAAAGCCTTCTCTAGAACACCATTTTTTCTCTTTATGTTATCTGAGAAGAAATAAACGAGAGAAAAAGAGAGATATATAACTAGAGAGAAAATCTACAACGAGTGTCATTTTGTTTCTATCGAAGACAAAGAAGAAGATAATTATTTTATTGGTGAATTAATTTATTAAAAAAACTCTTGTTAAATGATGTGGAATATCTACATATTTATCATTATACTTTTGTTCATTCTCAACAATGAAACATCAGGTAAATACTTTTATTTATCACATACTCAAGATCAACCATTGCACAAATGACATTATTCGCTAGAGTTTTAGTTGAACAAAAGGAAGTGAAATAATAGATTATAGAATTTGACAGGAATTACTATTATATATTCAAAAATGATGGTTCTCATATCTTCTAGATTCCGGCCTAACTCATTCAGAGAATGTGTCTCGCTACAGCGATTGACTTTGTTGTTAGACTCCGTTGAAATTATAAAATGTTGCCATATCTAGCAGTGACGAAATATGAGTCATATGTATGCCACATTGAAAAAATCTTTGAATCGTTCATTTAAAAAAGCAAATAGACTGATCGGTTGTTTCTAGATATGGCATCTTATTTCATAGTAAAAACCATGATGAAGCTTTTGATTTTGTATCTAAAACTATTTCCAAAGTCTATACTATAGAATATAATATAAAATCGTCACAGTTTCGATGACTTTCATAAATTTACCCTTCTCACGAATATTGAATAGCTTTACAGATTTTTTTCGAATGTGGATGGATGAAGGCAAGATTTAGGGGGAAAACTGACTGAGAATATAGATGGTGATGATATTTAGTGGGCTTTTATGACTGGCAATAACGGTGGCATTGAATGAATATAGATCGTCAACAAAGATGATGATATTCAATTAAAATGATTTAACATCAATAAATTCACAATGTTTTTCATATGAAAATGAGACTTGATTTTGAATTTCATTAAAGGCATTTTGTTTAGATCTGAATCAATTTCAATAAACTCATTTTCATTCTAAACAATTCTTTTTTTCTTCTTCGAATTCATTTTCGTTGAACAAATAAAAATCCTATGATTATTTTTCTTTTGTTTTCACTGATCGAACATAATCATTTTTCTTTTACAATAAAAAAATTAATAAATAAAATTTATTTTCTTCAATGAATTCAGCCTTCTATAAGTCATGATGTTTACAAATCATCTAAGAAAATATAAGAACAATCATAGAAATCTTTTCAAAGTTAATTTCAATGAATATTTACAAGAAAAAACATAAATTAACAACTTCATGTCGTTTACAGTTCTTGTCTAATATGTTTTCTATTTTTCTCGTTTTTAGCTCTTTCATTCAATCAACCAAAGTTTTGTCCAACAGCCATTTGGGATTCCAATGGAATTACCATTGTTGATGAATCGATTGTTGGTCAAAATCCTATCGCCATTTTTGTGAACACAAACAACACAATCTATGTCGCTAATAAAGAAAATAACAAAATTGTAATATGGGAAGGAGAGAGTGTCAATCCAACAAAGATCATTTCCGGTAATTTTACAAATCCTTATTCTATTTTCGTGACATCGAATGGTGATATTTATATTGATGATGGAGATGATAATAGTCGAGTGCAAAAATGGAGTGCAGAAACAAATAACTTTGTCACGGTGATGAATGTAAGTTCAGAATGTTATGGTTTGTTTGTCGCTATCAATGACACTCTTTTTTGTTCAATGTACGTTCATGATCAAGTAGTGAAAAGATCATTAAATGATTTTTTTTTTTACTTTAAATCGTGTTGCTGCTGGAACAGGTATTGGAGGATCAGACTCCAATCAACTCGATGGTCCTCTTGGAATTTTTGTTGATGTGAATTTGGATTTATATGTGACAGAATGTGGAAATGATCGAGTTCAATTGTTTCAGTCGGATGAATCAAATGGTACTACAGTAGTTGGAAGTACATCACTAAATCCAACAATTGAACTTAACTGTCCAAGTGGAATTATATTAGATGCTGAGAAGTACTTATTCATTGTGGATCGATTCAATCATCGCATTGTTGGTTCGGACTTGAGTGGTTTTCGATGTTTAGTTGGATGTTATGGAGATGGTTCACAATCGAATCAATTGAATAATCCGTTTAGTTTTAGTTTCGATCATTCTGGAAACATGTTTGTTACTGATCGAGAAAATTCTCGAATTCAAAAATTTCGATATATCGAAGAATCATGTGGTAAGTCTAGAATGATCGAATAAAAGGGTGTATGACGTTCCGTACTACCTTTTACGGACACCTGACCGCATGACCAGGTGTTCAGAATCAAAAACGTTTTTTGGCGAGTTTTCATTAAAGTTCGTTAGAGTAACTTTTTTAGAGATTTATACCGGGAGTTCGAAAATAAATTTTATTTTTGAAGGTTATTAGGGATGTTCGGAAATACTGTTTTACAGAAGATCGTAACAGAAAAAGTAAGATACGCAGGGGCGGATGTGGGTGTGGGTATGAAGGTATGAGGCTGTGGATGTGAGATATGAACAAGGCGCACACCCATTCCTCAAGATTTTTCTATTAAAAAACGTTGCTCTAGAATAAACGATTCAGCTCTTATTAGTAAGCAGAGTGAAAATCAAACTAAGAATACGCACAATCATTTTTTTTCTTTATTCTAAATGCAAATATTCATTGATTTTTTTCATTCAATAGATAACTCATTACTAATAGAATCAATGTATACATCATCGTTGACACCAAATAGTTCAAATTATTTTCAAGATTGTTCAGAGTTAGATTCGTATTATGAAGTGATACAAATGAATGTCACTGTAACTGGCTATTATACTTTTCTAATCAACAGCGAGATGAATACCATGTATGCTTATATCTACACAAATGAATTCAATCCGTTCGATGTGTCCAAAAATGTGCTGATCCATAGTGGAGACTCTGGTAATCATGGCCAATTTAAAGTCACAACTGTTCTTCAAGCCAACATGATATATGCTTTCGTTATGACAACATCTGCTCTAAACGTAACAGGTAATGTTTCGATTCAAGTATCTGGTCGAAGCTATGTCGATTTCAATAGAATCGGTAAGTATCTATAGTGTTTGAATAGATAATCAATTACACATACTCATAATCGATAAAAAATGTAGATAAACTCAATCTATAAAATGATATACAGATATTTCTGTTCGATAAAGACTAAGATTCATATCACTTCCAGTCACTTTCGGTAAGTGTATCTGAGAGAGAAAGTAATATCTCTAGTTATTTACACTTATTTTCATA